GAGTATTTTTGTATTCCTGCAAGTATTCTTGAGCTTTGTTCTGGGATATGGTTAAGTTACTTGGAAATAGTTCGATCTGTCCTCAACTTGCTTTTAAGCTTTGTTGGGCAGGACTAGAGTAGCACTAACTTAATCTAGGATTAATATTCTGCCCGCTACCAAGGCAATACTTTTCTCTGTGTTCTGCTTGATGCCTGGGGAATTATGACGTTTTCTACTCTGGCTGTTTGGGAACAGGCACTATTCCTGACCTTGTAAGAGCTTGGGGTATTGTTCCCTCTAATCTTTTTGAGTGGTTCTCTCTCCAGCCTTGGGGAGTTTCCTCACATATATGTGCTAATCACTGCTGAATAGTATACTCGATAGGTAACCTCTGCATATCTTTGAGTTCTGTCTCTGTACAACCCTCTCCTCTCCAGTACTCTGCCATGCAAATTCTATTTACCTTGGCCTCCATGGACTTCCACCTATATCTCATCAACAGCATGTGCAAAGCCCATATGGTGGGAGGACCATGGTTTTGGAAATCAGAGAAGAAGGCCTGTGTGGCAAGAGGGACCATGACATCAAATGAGCAGAGAAAAAGCCCTTGCAGCTGGAGGATCTCAGTTGTCTGAATTATAGAGAGGAAGCCTGTGTAGCTGGAGGGACCATGGCATCTGAGGGGCAGAGAGGAGGACCACATGGCTGGAGCAGAGGAACTAAGAGGGATTGGGACACAAGACTGAGCTTTCTGCAGCTCCCAAGGCAAGGACCCAAATCCTTACCTTGGCCTTCAAAAATGGATAATCCCTGGCCAGGTGAGTTGGCAGTAATCACTGTCTGACTATTCATCACAAAATTGGTCACATGTACGGCAGAATTCCTTCAACATGGTTTGTTCTTAGTCACAGCCCAATCCTTCCATTCATGTTAGCCCTGCAAATGTAACTGTGAAAAGTTGATTTTCTGTCATTACAAATCAGTTTTTTTCACAAAATTGGTCACATGTACGGCAGAATTCCTTCAACATGGTTTGTTCTTAGTCACAGCCTAATCCTTCCATTCATGTTAGCCCTGCAAATGTAACTGTGAAAAGTTGATTTTCTGTCATTACAAATCAGTTTTTTAGCACCAAATTACACTCAGCCTGTCCTTCAAAGACCCCCATCTCACAAAATGTTCCCCAGTCTAGCCTGTCCAATTTTGGCGTTTTTACACTTCTTCACTTATTGGAGTTCAGGTAGGCTTTCTATAGGGTGGAGGAGAGAGCCCTCTCTGAGTTTTACTTGGAGACACAGCATTTTAAGGCATGCCCTGACATAACTGGACTTTTCTTCAGCCATCTGGAGTTCTCAGTGGCTAGAAGGGCCCTGCCCATCTCTCCTTCTCCTCTAACTTTAGGGAAAGGAAAAAGATGGAAAGGGAATATCGATCCTTCTCTTATTTGAGCCCAAGAGAGAGACTGTTTGATATCTTTGAGTCTAGAGGCAAAGCACCCGTACAAATACTTTCCTGATATTATTTCCTCGAGTGCGTAGAAGATTAGCATCATATGGGTAGAGAGACATTTCCAAGAAAATCCAGTTGCCTTTAGCTTTCCATTATGTCCCCAGTGTTGTCTTAGGACCTGGCAGATTGTTCAACACCGAAAAGAAGCCAGCACACATTTGTTAAATCAATTCATGCAGTAAGCAATAATTCTCACCAGGATGGGGGAAGCAAAGAGATTGTATGAATTGGCAATCTTTCAAAAATTAGTCATTGTTGATGTTTTTTGCCATTCATTAGCATTATAGTGTTGCAGGGATAAATGCCACAAGGAAAACTATGTAATAATTGTTACTTCTTGGCAAAACACAGGAGAAATGTGTCTCTCTCCACCTGTGATGTCAGGAGCCGAGGAGGACCCTAGAGGGTGCAGAAGGCTGTGCTGCTGAGAGTGGGGAGCAGGAAGAAAGAAGGGTGGGGATGTATATTTTGAAAGGTTTGGGAAAACCAAAGTTAGAATATTTGAACTGGGTGGATGTAAGATACAAATCAATTCAAACACAAGGTGACACATGAGGAAATGAGACCCAAGCATTTTACGACCTGCCCAAAGTCACCCTTTACTTAGCACCAGCCCTGGTGTGTTAGTCCATTTTCTGTCACTGGTAAGAGAAAACCTGAAACTGGGTAATTTATAAGAAAACGAAATTTCTTGCAGGTTTGGAGGCAGGGAAGTCCAAGATCCAGGGCACATCTGGTGAGGGCCTTCTTAGTGGGAACTCTCTACAGAGCCCTGTGGCAATGCAGGGAGCCACATGGTGACGAGGGAGAAGAGCACATTAACATGCTCACTTGCTCTCCTTTCAAAGCCACGAGTGCCACTCTTCTGATAACCCACTAAATCATTAACCCATTACTCCATGAATCCATTCATGAGGACAGAGTCCTCACAATCCAGTCACCTCTTAAAGGTCCCACCTTTCAAATACCATTGTCAGATTTCCCACCTTCTTAACTCTGTTACAATGGGGACCAAGCTTCAATGAGTTTTTTAAGGGGACATCCAACCCACAGCATCTGGGTTGGGGAACCAGAGCTTCTGACTTCTGGTCTCAGAGTTTTCCTTAAAACACTGGGCTGCCCTCTATGAAAGACTAAACACCTTCCATAATCGGCCTGGCTGAGAAAGTCCCAGTACCAGGAATATCCCTGGGATAATCTTGGTTCCAAGCCCAGGGCTAACATCCTGTACCTTATCAACTCCACAGTCTAACCAACTGAGCTAACTGGTGATCCCTGTCCTGTGCTCTAATACAGGCAAAGAAAAGCCACAGGTGTTTTGTAGGTTCGTAAGAATGGCCATCTTGCTTTTTGCTTTATTCCAAAATAAGTTCCTGTGCATCACAGCAGAGATAAATGAGAGAAATATTAAAACATGCTGGTTTAGTAGAAAAAATTTGAAACAAAGACTCTAAGCAATGGATTGTAAGTAGAATTAAAACAAAGAATCCAAAATACAAGGCATACCTTACTTTATAGCCTGCAAGACTTATTCACATGCTTAGTTCAATCCAGCTTCACAGCAGACCTGCGGGGTAGGAGGATGAGATCTGCTATCTCCCTTGTGTAAGTACAAAAATGAGGCTCCAGGTGATCAGCAATCTGTCCTAGGGCTGACACCTATGAGTATCAAAGCCAAGGCCACAGCCGAGTTCTCAGTAAATCCAAAGTCCTTCCTGACATGTAAGAGAAGTACAAGCACCAGTATAACTGGGCATGTCTGCTTAAAAATGGCCAACTCTGGGCCGGCCCGGTGGCGCACTGCGCTAGTGCGCCACTTGGGAAGCGCGGCGGTAAAAATGAGGCTCCAGGTGATCAGCAATCTGTCCTAGGGCTGACACCTATGAGTATCAAAGCCAAGGCCACAGCCGAGTTCTCAGTAAATCCAAAGTCCTTCCTGACATGTAAGAGAAGTACAAGCACCAGTATAACTGGGCATGTCTGCTTAAAAATGGCCAACTCTGCTTGTCAAGGTGACTGGCCCCAGGGGACAAAACTGAATTTCATAAGGTGCTTTGAGAAGCAGGTGTTGGTATGTGGCATAATTGGGCTTATAGAACCCATTCTCAGTTACTCAGAGAAGAGGGGCATATTTCTGAGCAGTTCGAGGCCCTGTATGAGACAGGAATATTTTCCAGGATACCAAGGTGGCTACTGGAGCTGGTGAATGGACTCTGAGATGCCCTCCACCCAGGCTTTCCCATGGGGAGGCCTGGCCTGTTCACAGGCAATGGCCATGCATAGGGGAACCAGTCTGCCTGGAAGCCTCCGTAGGGGAGTAAAGTGTAAGGCCTGGCTGAGCTGGGGGACACTGTCCACGGGCTTCCCTTAGACAGCAGGCGCACTGTTACTCCTTTCATCTTGTGTTATCCGCTTGGGTCCTCTTTTTTTTTTTTTTTTTTCCTTTTTGTCTTTTTTT